TCTCTCTCTCTCTCTCTCTCTCGCTGTGTGTGTGTGTGTGTGTGTGTGTGTGTGTGTGTGTGTGTGTGTGTGTGTGTGACTGTGAAAGACGGTCACTGTGCGTGTGCGCATGCCTCTCACTTTTGCGAGAATACGATTACAGACTTGAGAGTAAAGGACCTTCTCAGACTGGAAACAAGGCATTTCCATACCCACTGTTAGACTGTTTAGCCATGACCTATTAGCCCTATAGCCTAATATCCTGATAGCCATCAGCTATTATGAATGAGCTATAACTAGCCCGTCGCAATCCAGTATCATCCATTGGCGGATTACCTTAGCTTCGTCCTCCTCGTCCTGTTTCCCCCTGCTCTTCTTCCTCTTCTTCCTTCTCCTTGTCCAGATCATGGACTACAGAATACCTGTGCCCAGACCCTCTTCATCCCTCTTTGACAGGACACGATCCGATACTGTATCTATCATCCCGGGACATTATTTATATGAAGTTTTATATCTTGCCACAAACTTAAGTTATATATCAATGATTATGACGTCATAAACATGGCCAGCTGCTCCACTAACTGGCAGAATTGGATCTCTTGGGCTGACTCGATTGTTCCCCCGTCAACCTGGGACTTAAACAAGGCTTAAACAAGGCAATGCCAAATTTCGCACCCCTCGTGAGCTCAGTGAGACAGCGGCATACGGAGCATTGCTGTGGTGTTGGGTTCGCCATAGCCGGAATTTCCCACCCCTTGCGGCTACGACCCTGGCATTGCGGTGTTCGCCATAGCCCGAATTCAGCTTGAAGATGATAAGAGAAACATTTCCACCATAGCTGCACTCCAGCTTGAAGACACTTGCTCAAAAAGTTATCTTCTTCCCGACCTTCACGTTATCGCGACAGAAACCATTAAACTTCCTCCCATGTCTAGAGTTCAGCTTGAAAGCGGCTTGCTCAAAAAGTTATCTTCTTCCCGACCTTCACATTATCGCGACAGAAACCATTAAACTTCCTCCCATGTCTAGAATCCAGCTTGAAAGCGGCAAGAGAAACATATCCACCATATCCAGAAGCTTGAGGACTCTTGCGCAAGTTACCCTCTTCATGTTATGCCAACTGCAACATTTTCCGCCATAGCCAGGCTCCGGCGTGAAGGTGTCATAGTTTGAGCAATGTGACCCTGGGGGCATACTCGTGCTAGGACCTCCTCGACTCTTTTCTGAATGTAGTTGCAGCCAGATACGGCCAAGGTTGGCCATAACTGCACTCAGGTACATCCACTGGCAGGAAGATCCTGGTGCGCATATGCTCCGAGCAAACGAGCAAACGTACGGCTCAATGCTATCCCCCCTAATCCAATGACATTCCTTTAAAACTTCTCACTCCCTAAAAGACAATATCCAACAACAAATAGGACATAGGCAACAAGAATACCATGCAAATATGTACACCCTTAGGAAACCTTTATCCTACAGAATGGTGCTAGTTCGGTACTGTTCGGATTCTCCGGAATAAACAGTCTGGGCACCAGCAACAAGTCCTAGAATAGACTCCCTCCAGATCGATAGTAGGGACTACCGTCTTCACCCGAATAGAACGCCCGGTCATTATAACCGTATTTGGGGCAACTCCCAGTCCAGATACCGCGGGGCGTTCCATTTGGGGGTGAAGACGGTAGCCAAGCTGACCATCCGACTGTATCTTGATTCGAACTTGGGTCTGCATTTCAACAGTTCATGGGTGTACCAGCTGAGCTATAGTGCCCATAGGCCAACTTCTTGCTGATTCTGTCCTATGTTTTTACAGACCAAGCGGCTTAGCCTTTATGGCCTATTGGCTATTGCCGATTGGCTATAGGGTGACCAGTTGGCCATTGGCTATAGCCCATGGCCCAACCTCCTGGCCAAGCTATTGTCCACAGATCAAGAGCCTATATTGGTTATTGGCTATTGGCGATTGGGCCACCTGCTGCCCATTGACTATAGCCTCATGGTGTTGAGCCAACTTAGTGCACAAATGGCAATAAGGGAGCAAGAGACTGACAGAATAGGGCTTCTTAGAATACAAAGCAAAACTCCAAGAAGATACTTAGTCGATTCTGAGGGCGAAGTTCCTATGCTTCCAGGTTCAGGCTTCTTTAGCCTTGCATAATACCAAAAGTAGCATCGCATTGATGCACCAGTCTCGAGGCTGATGCCACAAGAGCCTCATCATCGTATCCCATGCCGTAAACAAAGATTGGCCACCATGGTCGCATCCTCGTGTCACTTGCCTCCCCCACATGAGGAGAATATCATTTACAGCAGCCTGAGGAAACAACCAGAACCAACCAGAAGCAACCACAACTCTCTCTCTCTCTCTCTCTCTCTCTCTCTCTCTCTCTCTCTCTCTCTCTCTCTCTC